AAGGGCAGAGGCAAGAGCTCGGCGGGCAAGGGCAAAGGCAAAGGCAAGGGTAAGCCGGACACTCAGCCAGATTCTGCACAATTTGTTTATGGCGACGTTTGTGGCTGTTCAGTTTTTGTCAGGCCTCCAAGCAAGGGTGCCCAGGGAGCCCGCAGACTGCCTGCATCACGCCCCCAGGACGGACCGTAAAGCGCTCTCAATTGTTCACTTCTGCGGAGCTTGTTTCTGTGGCATGGGAAGCTCATCTTGATGATATGTTCTGCTAGCCCAGGAAGATAGATTCGCTTTCGCTGCCCCTGTCTTGAGCGCTGCCCAACCCCCCCCCCCCCCGCCCCCCGAAGCCCAGCCCCAGCCCTCAGACCGACAAACAGTTGACAAGGGCCACCGAGCAGACTCACAAAGATGCACAAAGATGCATAGAACAAACATGAACCAAACCCAAGTCAGAGCACCGAGAAATCATTTGCGGCCAAGCAGAAGCACTTGCTCACTTGCACGCCTGCTGAGCATACTGTGGCCCAAAGCATCCAAGCGCCGACTGGCTGCGGCGATACCCGCACACACAGACATGGGAGCCGAGAGGAACGAAATGCTCGACTGAATTCGACTGACCATCGCGCGACCCAGCCCCAGCCCACCCTTGTCACCCGAGAATCCGAGTCTTGCAAGACCGACTCCACATCCCGAATTCCAGCTGCTCCATACTTCTCCTGAAGGCAGGCTCTGCACCCTACCCAAACCCCGGGTCGCACTCTCAGCAGTTTCCATCCGATCGTGCTGGAATCTACGTGTCCTTGTTACTCGGATTTAGTGCATCCTGCGTCTGGCAGGTCCAGGAATGTTGCTGTGGGGTCGTATCTTTTAAGTTCTGGATTTCAGAGCAGTCAACCTTCGAGTCAGACCTGACAACATTTGGAGAGGTGCTTCGCAGCTGGGATTAGACTCGTGTAGCACGGCTGTGTAAGGCCGATTGGATCCTGGTCCAGTGTCCGTCCTACACTGTCTCTAAGAGGCACAGCCCGCGTGTTCTCGAACCACGAAGTATTTCGGAATCGATGTTGACCTTCGGTTTCCGTGCACGTCGTGAAACGGTTCAGAGTAGCTGCAAGCACTAGGCACCTCATCAACATTGGCGCGGCCTTTTGCAGCCCGGCCGAGGAACCGATGCTATGGGGCTTGAATTTGTCCAGATCTGAAGCAAATTATCTTAGTGAAAGGCCGGCAGCAGCACCACCTCTCCGTTTCGGTGGCCCTCTGGACCGTAAGGTCAGAGTGGAGAGCGGACGAGTGCCAGAGATGGGTTAAGACACCAGCGTATGGGGGCCTGTAGCAGGGTCGACGACGCTGCAACGTATGGATAAGCCTTGCAAAGTAGAAGATTTCTGGTTTTGGCACTTAACCTTTCGAAATATACACATAGAAATACTGTGTGTCCAACTTAGGCAGTGGGTTTCTTCACTCTTGCATAATTTGAACAACGACCCTCACATGCAAATGCACACACACACACACACCCACGCACCCACCCACCCACCCACCCACGCACGCACGCACGCAAGCACGCACGCGCGCCCACGCGCGCGCACGCACGCACGCGCGTGCCCACACACACACACACACTCTCACACACACACACACACACACACACACACACACACACACACACACACACACACACACACACACACACACACACACACACACACACACACACACACACACACACACACACACACACACACACACACACACACACACAACACACACACACACACACACCCACACACACACACACACACACACACACACACACACACACACACACCACACACACACACACACACACACACACACACACCACACACACACACACACACACACACACACACACACACACACACACACACACACACACACACACACACACACACACACACACACACACACACACACACACACACACACACACACACACACACACACACACACACACACACACACCCACACACACACACACACACACACACACACACACACACACACACACACACACACACACACACACACACACACACACACACACACACACACACACACACACACACACACACACACACACACACACACACACACACACACACACACACACACACACACACACACACACACACACACACACACACACACACACACACACACACACACACACACACACACACACACACACACACACACACACACACACACACACACACACACACACCGTTTCATCCTTCTGGGGCTATATGCCGCAGAGTAGTGCCACAAAATGACTAAGATCGGGCAAGCACTGCAAGTCCGAGTAATTACAACGTTCCTAGCTGACGGGCATGCAGGGGTTGGCCGGCCTCTGGGTTGCATCCCTGATGTTCTCCAGCCGAGCGTTGCAAGGAGATCAATCCAGGTCTTTTTAAGTACTTGTGCTCTTTTTTGTTTGGCGATGCCGGGAAAAATTCGCCCAAGCTTTGCTTTGGCTGCCATGTCCGCCCTGCGTGTGACATTTTCTAGTCCCAGCACGCAACTTCGCCTGCAAGACCTCCTGTTATCAATGTCGTCCCAAAAAGGTCCTGCACAGGGTTCGCAGGAGGGGGTTTTCAAGGATTCCCTTGGAAGGTCACTTGAAGCCGGGGGTCTCTAAGGCCGAGGCCCAACAAAAAGGACAGTTGCAATTGCCAGCACCGCGACTTTCCTGGCTGGCCGTGGTGCCAACTGGGTCAGCCCGAAGAACACGTGAAAGCCCTTTTGTGAGACCAAGTGAGTCCTGAGCAAACACTTAAAACACCTCTGCAAAAAATGAAAAAGAACGAAAGAAAAAGGGGGTCACTGGGGTAGGGGAGCGTAGGGGGAGGGGGAGAAGTGGACAAATGGGCAAGCTTTGGAAGTCATTGGGCGGCCCCGGTATGCTCAAATGAGTGGGGGGCCCAAGTGACCCAAGAGGGCTTTCAAGAGAAAAACAAGCTTTGAAGCAAAACGCGACCAGGCAAATGTCTGCAACTGCACTTTGGGCACGGCAAAGTCTTGAGCAAGAAGACTCCATGTACGGCAGCTTGCAAAATTCAGTAGCTCGGCAGTTTTACTTCAGCTTATTCCTCCACTCACAATTTGTCACACCTACCTCACTGGGAGACTTTGCTTATAAATACTTAAAGCCAAAAAGCCAATCTAAAGGTTGGTTTCGAGGTTGGTGAAGTGCATAGTTGCGGGGAGCAACCTCTCCCAGGACGAAGCATGACGAGTGACGAGTCAAGGTATTATGTACTGACAGCAAGCAAGCGCGAGAAAGTCCAAGAATTGTGTCACATATTGGGCTGATGAGCTGTTGCAAGCAGATGCAATCAGAGCATATCGCTGCTGTAAATTTGCATGTCAGGTGGATAAACCTCGGGAATCTCGCATAGTCGGTGGACCTCGTCCAGGTCGTTTGCATGATCGCTTCCAAAGCAGAAGCATCACATTGAATCCAGCGCCACACCGCGACAGCCACCGTAGCGTGGAACACTCAGACATGGCTTACCATGCACACCAACCTAACAAGAAGAAGACACTGTTGGATCTGGAGGTCCCACGGAGGTCCAGATCGCCAGGCATGGCTCAGGATGTAGCACGAAGACCTGCAGTGCATGCGTATGTGAGTTACATTTCAAGCGAGGTACTCGACCTCGTGCAGAACCGATAGGTGCCTGACCGCTTGTGTCCTGAGCCAGACCATCACCAGTGTTCTGTGTCCATATTCCTGAACATTGCTTTGAAAGGTTTGCTGTTCTCAGCTCGGTTCAGTCTTTCTTCTCTGCGTGCAGAGAAGTTCTCCTGTACCCTCCTGCAACGTTTGCTTTGTATGTCACAAAGGGTGGGGTGGCTTTCACACGCGGAGAGATGGAGAGGGCCGGAAAAGCTGAGAAAGACTTGGAGAAACCACAATGCTTTGACACGGTCGACAGACCAATAACGACACCAACACCAACAGCAATTCACTACTTGTAGTTCACTAGTTCATCAGTATTCGCTTTCACTTGCCTTTTGCTTGAGGTCTCCTTCGTGGCCAGTCCTGATGTGCACTGGCTATTTTCTTTGGAGCTTTAAGATGCCTTAAGCCACTTGTAATGCGACGGTAACGTGGCCTTTTCTGGACTGCAGCGAACCCTGAAGCGAACAGGCCAAGGCAGAGGGATGCGTGTAAGTTGCCTTTTCCAGTCTGGGCAGGCTGGTGAAAACAAAAGGAAACTTGATGCAAAAGTTGCAAAAGTAGTGATATGACAAGATTATTACCACTTCTGCTACGCCTTCCAAGTCATGGTGCAGAGCACAAAACGGCACTCTTTTCGCGCTGCATATTTCAAGCCTGTTCCCTTGGCGGCGACTGAGTTTTGCTGGGTTTACGAAAAGTCGCAAACCTTTCTCTCCTCAAAATCCTCAACATCCCTCAACATCCCTCAACATCCCTCAACATCCCTCAACATCCCTCAACCCCCCCCAAGAAGGGCAGAGCGCGGCCTTCCTTCCGTAGTTACGTAGTTATGCAGTTATGGCCCTGCAATGCCCTGCAGAGGTGCCCAGAAAGAGAAGATTCGCCACCGCAGTCGAAATCGCCACAGGTCTCGAAGCAGGATTGGCCTTCTTATATTGCCTTGCAACAGATTCAACGGATCCTTGCACCGATATTGTCTTGGAACAGATCCTGCTCGCTGCTTGTCCTCTTTCTGCCAGGAGCCGTCGCCGGCGGAAGACCTGAGCGAGCAAGTCTGACCTTACTGCTCGGCAGAAAGAAGGGCTGCTTTGTCCTGGCTTGTATACGACCTGCCTGAGCACAGCATGGCACGTCGCGTGTGTTTTCAGGAGAAGTCTCTGGCTTGGAAAGTTTTGACATGGAACCTTCTCAACGAGCGTAATTTGCGTTTTTATGCGGCCACAGAACAATTAGCGGCCAACACTGGTAGTGTTTGTGCCAGTCGCGGCATTCTGCCATGTCCGAATGTCTCAGCGACAATGGCCCGGCCATGGCCCTGGACCCTTGAAAGCTGTCTTGAGGGCTGCCTTGGAAGCTTTCGTGTCGCCCTTTGCTTCGTTGACAAGGCCAGGGCAGTGGCTCTTGGCAAGCCCGTCTTAGAAACCGAGAGTCTGCTGCTCAGAGTGCAGTGCTGTCTCGACTTCATCGCGATGTGTTGTTCTGTGGTGAGGCAAGATGTGGGTGGATGACATCCAAGCCGAATGTCGGCTAATGGCCAGTGCTCCCAGTATTTGCCACATGACTGTGGCATGTAAAGCCCCCTTTCAAGATCTCAGGCTTATGCCACGCCAGATCCAAAGATAGAGATCATTGCTGTCTGTACCTCGGGCTGACTGGTGTGACGTCCCAAGTTGGTTGCTGCATTTGGCGCACGGCTCCTCATCAGCTTGTGCAAGGTGGTGAAAGGAAGCGTGGCTGATGCCGCGGCACTGCGCCTACTGTACTGTACTTGAAGAGCGCAATGCCGAGACCTATTCACACCGTCATGTGCTGAGGGTGTGCCTGTCCGCGTGCATTCGGAGTGCTTCACTGGAGATGTGCTCGGGTCACAGCGCTGGACGCTCAATTCATACACCAGGCGTTTGTGCCCCTCAGCAACAGTGTCTGCATGAAGGTTGTGACTGTGGACAGCAGCTCCACAAGTTCATGCGGATTATGAATGATTCGCACGCTCCTCATCACCGTCGGGAGAACATTCTTGGATGTCATGAAGCGTATCGGGCCAGTTTTCGTAGGGTGAGGCTTGTGAAGCATTCGGAAAATTCGGGGGGGGGGGGAGGGGGGGCGGTTCACCTAATTGTTCTCACCTATGTTCACCTCCTTAGAGTCACGTTTAAAGGGCCTTAAGGGAAGTAAGCGAGGAAGATCCGACTATCCGATGCCCCACCCTGGAAAGACGGACAGAGGAACCGTGGAGATCCCGCAAGGCTTTGCGGAGATGACAACTCGTTCTTCGCAAGATTTCGTGTAGTTCTTCTTGCACCTCCTTCTGTCGCTGTCGCGTCGACCTTGAAACACCGCGGCCGGCGGCGAATGGGATTATCAGGATCAGGACGATGAGACAGAGGCTTCGTAATGGCTTGGTACTAGCAACGACTGCAATGGCCTCGAAGAGTATTTGTATGGCAAAGACTTACAAGCATAAGCTTCTAATGTCAAGAAAAGGTTTCAACGTTCTCTTTCGAGCGTGTGGCTTTAGTTTGTAGCTCCTTGGACACACTTCTAGTCAATTGTTCCCTGCAGTCGGGACTCGGATCATTCGGTTGCCGGTCTGTTTTTTTTCTCCGCACTGCTGGCAACTGAATGATAGTAGGTGTTCGCACCTCCCTTCTGTGAGCGAGCGTGAGGCTGCATGATCGAGCTAGCACCAGTTACTGCATTCTCCATGCAAGCAGCATGCGAGCGCTAAGGGCTTGTGGAGTCCTGCTCTACATTCGTGGCCAAGAGGGGCCGCACACCCAGAGACTTTCACACCATCGTGCTGGATCTTGAAGAACAGATCATGTCCGGCCTACGGGTGACGCAGGCGCGGTATTGGACTTTTCTCAAAAATTCGTGCGCTGCCCGACTTGCGCTGCCTGACACCGACTTTCCAAAAGTCCTAACGACTCGCCTGTGAGGCGCGTACCATCTACAGGACCAAGGTCATGACACGGTGGATGCAAATTTGAAGCTGGGACTTCCAGCTTGCATCTCAGATAGGCTTAATTGTCACTGAACTCAGACTTAAGCCGCCAAAGCCTGCAACAGCGTGTCAGGTGGACATTCGTAGCTACGAGGATGCATTGCAGGTGTTGCAAGACCTCAGGTCGGAGAGATGAGGGGCAAACGTGTTTCGAACGGGTTCAACTCCGATGCAGGCTCAAGTCCATCCGGCTGTTCACAAACAATCCAGACAAGATGTCTGCCCTGAAGATCCTCACGCAGGAGGCAGTAGCATGATGTAGCATGATCCAAGGCCAGGGCGTTAACCTGTTCACGACGTACTCTCCAGGTACAGGCGCTGTCGTCTTTGCCAAATGAACGCAACATCGGCTACCTTCAAACGAAGATTCAGAGGCCTTGACCTAAGACTGCACGACACTGCAATGACGAAGCTAAGACGTCCAGCCGACCTAGCGCCGAGGCTGAACCATCGGACAGTGCTGGAGACCTTCAAGTTGCCGGAACTCGGCCATCGCCCAAATTTCAGATCTCGAGTTTCTCTTGAAAGCGCCCTGTTACTGCTCTTTGTACATTGGGACTAAGCGCTTGTGACTGGCTGAGTGATGTACTCAAGGCCTGGAGAAGTCCCAGCTCCGAATAGGACTTGTCTACACGACCTGGAACCAGTACTTTGCCGGGACCTCTCAGAGTCTCAGAGTGTCTCGGACATGTCTCACTTCCCCATCCCTCCCCGCTGGGCTCGAGCTCTTGCCGGCTCCAAAGATCATATGAGAGGAATTCATTGCTGTCTTGGACGGGGGCTGCACCTTCAGAGAGGATTTCATTATTTTGGCATTTCTGGAGATTCCCTCAACACCTTTGAAGAGAAAGCAGTCAAAGAGCCACAGGCTCATAGCGTCACAGTGCTAAACTGATCGACATGGCGAGCTGTTTGGTGGTCCTCAACCCAAGCTGACTTCACCGCTTACACCATCTATACCACAGTCAGCGCCCATCAGTGCCCATAAGTGCCCAACCAAACCTCGGAGATTTGGTGCGGGAGCATCCTGTCAGCATCTTGCTGTCTCAGGTTGATGAACTGGTTTCATTAGCGGCAACGGAGCTCACAAGCACATCTGTCTGCAAGCAGTACCAAGCTTCGCGATATACTGCCCTGCAAACCCTTGTGACTCATGTGACTTCTTGAGGCTCTGGCGCCCACATATTGAAAATGGCCCCGACCCCTGTGCCTACTTTGCATTGGAGCCATGCAGCACGGCGCCGCTTGAGGCAGTGCCGGGAGCCAACGAGCTCATCAGCGGCTGCAGAATTGCCTTGCGCCTGAGCCTCGCAACCTAATGAGAAGAGACTCTCGGCAAAGCTGCCTGCCCTAGCCAAAGGACACCACAAGCCCGATGCTGTCATTGCCCGGACGCTCAGATTTTGCGAGTGGTGGACGCGCCAGCGTGCATGTACAAGTCTCAGAAAACGAACACTTGCCTTAGGCTGTCGGAGTGCTTATTCGAGGGTCCAGTGATCTGTACGACCGCACCTGCAATGCAGTGCTGCCCTCAGCTGTGAGCCAGCTTCTGCCAGCCTGTCTGGCAGTCTTGGCAGTCAAATGCAGTCAATCATATTCTTATGCGGTCATGTCGTCATGAGCCAGGTCATGAGCGGTTTGACAGAGCTGAATGCCATCCAAGACACGCTGAGCTCCAAGAATTGAGCTCCAAGACTGCCAAGTGAAAGTCGGAAAATAGCCAAGCAACTACACCAAGGCCAATCGTCCTCGGCATCCTCATGTGTCAGAATGAGGACATCAGAAGCTGTCTCTCCCACACACACAAACACATGCAGTGCACAATTTCAGGTTTTCTTGAAAAAGAAACAACATCGACCACAGAAGATGCGAGAGCAGGAGCATGAGCTGGATTCTCCGGACCACATGCAGCCGTTTGCAGAACACATAGAGTTCCCTGCTTGTGTATGGTGGCCAAATGGGGATCACTCCGTCATGTTGCTGACGCGTCGACAACCTTGAACAAGTCGCTTGAATGAAGGGTCTCGCCCCGTTCAGAGGTCTTGGCCGTGAGCCAACCCTTTTGAGACCTGCAAACTTCGTCCACTTTACGAAAATCCGGGACACATCTGCAAGTCCTCCGGGTCTGTGCACAGTGGCTCTGGCTCTTTGGGCGTGTACCTTAAGGACCCGGCGACGGCCGGCGTTGTTCCTGAAAGGGATGAAAGGGATGAAGGCGATGAAGGGATCGGTGCAAACTGTGCAAACTGGCTCCGAAAGTTCACCGGGGATTGGCCTTTCCGCTCTCATCACCATCACAGTGATCTTAACAATGAGTATTCTGCAAGTGCTTCGCCGAGAGGTCGCTCCCCTCTGCACTCTTGGCGTGATCATGGCAAACATTGTTACCAAAGCCATGAAACAGATCGTGAAGCGAACGCTCCCACCGTCTCTTTGGAAGCGGCCACAGGGCTCGCGCAGGGACTCTACAAAGGATCCTGGTTTTCCCAGCAGCCACACTTCCATCATGACCTTTATCTCTGTCTACTTTGCCTTATACCTGGGACTTCACGTGGGTGTCCCATTCAAGAAGGTTTTTTGGGTTGCAGTCTTGCCTTCAGGAGCCATGGCTGCCGCACGGATTTGGGATAAAGATCATACGATTCAGCAAACTCTCGGCGGTGTTGCTTGGGGCTGCTGCATGGGAATGTGGTGGGCGCTTATTGGTCCACGCCTCCGTGGTATTCTGGAATGGGCAGAGCCTCAACCATGGGCCGTGGTAATTCTTTGCTTTGGTGTGCCTTGTCTGACACCTGCCGATCAGCCAGCAAGTCTGAAACCCCAAGCAGTCAGACCATGACGACGGCACAAAGCCTCAGTTTTGCCTGAGCATGATCCAAGGCCCAAAGTCATGTTCGCAACACATCGCCGCACCAAACGATTGTAATAAAGGTGCACCCCCCTTACCCCCTCCCTCCCTTACCCTCCCTTACCCTCCCTTACCCTCCCTTACCCTCCCTTACCCTCCCTTACCCTCCCTTACCCTCCCTTACCCTCCCTTACCCTCCCTTACCCCCTCCCTTACCCCCCCTTACCCCCTCCCCCCCCTCCCTTACCCCCCCCCCCCCCCCGACACCCCCCACCCCTACCCCAACCCCCCCCCTACCCCACCCTACCCCCGTCACAGTTTACACAAATCTTAAATAAAGGGTCCGTATGATTTAAAAACGATGAGTTTATATGAAGGGGCTCCCGATGATATGGTTGAAAAGGGATAAGTTTATATGAGTTAAAAGGGGTTCACATGATTTACATGAGTTTATATGATTTTCAAAAGGATCCATGTGATTTTAAACGGGGTGAATTTATATACGTTAAGGATGCGTTTGAAATGGCATGAGTTTACACGAAATTATAAGGGATCCATCTGATCTTGGATGAGTCTTAATGATTTTAAAAGGGGCCATGTGATTTTTAGGCATGAGTATAAGAAGAATCCATGTCTGGTTATAAACGTGATGAGTTGAGAAGCATGTCAAAGGAATCCATATCTGGTTGCCTGTGAAAGGGATGACTGTATATGAGTTTAAAAGGGATGAGTTCATATGAACGAAACAGGGGTCCATGTGATTTGACAAAGGACGAGTTTGTATGAATTCAAAAGGGACCGATATGATATTGTGAAATCCAGGGCCCAGGGGCCAGGACGTTGGAGAGGGTCCCAAACCAGTGCCCATTATAGCAGATCCACTTGGCTCCTGGACCAGCCCTTGGCCGGACTGATCCAAACCAATTTTTCATGTGGTTGTTTTAAAGGGTTTCGGCTCTGGGGTTTTCGGGGTGATGGAAAGGGGGCCTGCCTTTGGCCTGCCTTTGAGACTCAACTGCCTGGCCTTGAATAAAGCTCAGAAATCCAGGGCACGGGGCCTGGGTCCGCCTGGGTCCTGGACCACTGTTTTGCCGGATTGATGGAGACCATTCATACATGTCCAATGAATATATATATATATATATATATATATATATCTGTATATATATATATAGATATACGTATATATATATATATATATATATTTTTTTTTTGTAAAGGGAATTCTTGATTTCGTGTCAGTTTGGAGTTCGGGTTGCCGGGGTCTCGGAAAGAAGGCTTGCCTTTGAAATTCAGATGCCCGGCCGTTAAGCCAAGAGGCCACGGCATTGGCTTAAAGTCGGCTTCAAACCAAACCCCCTAAATTCTGGAAAAACATCTGGATTCCCGGAACGACTTGGCTTTAATCGCTTCCCCCTTTTATTAAATACCCCCTAATTATACAAACACTTTCCGGAAAATCCTGCCGAACCGACCCTGCCTTTAAAACCCTATTCCGAATTAGGGGGTGGGTTGAGCTCCCAAAAGCCTCAAACCAACCAACATCCTGCTCCGTCTGTCGCTCTCCCTCTCTCTCTGAGCTTACACCCAAATTGTTTAAGTTATTACTTAAACCCTCCAAACCCTGAAGCCTAGACCCTAAACCCTTTAGACCCCAAACGTGACATTTGGATAAAAACATCCCCCTACTGCAACAATACAAACACATCGAATCCTGTGCCATTGTGTTAAGTTTCTCGGGCCATCAAGGAATTCAGGGATACCTAGTTGCTCAGCGGGCGCGGGGGGTTACACTAATCAGGGGATGCATTCGACATTCCGTGGCAAAAGGGCCTTTGCTACATGATTTGCAACTTTCTGCCAAGGTTGGCTTACCCATGTTCACGAGACCCCTTGGGATGAAGTTTCCAAGAACTAGCACCTTGAGCAAGCCGTGAATCGAAGACGTGACCTTGGAGAGCAAGAGCAGACCGAGCAAGGCCCACGCGAAATGCACCCAGCTGCTCTGAAAAAGCCGTGTGGGAAGCGTTTCTCATTCTCTTCCAGCATCTTGTGGCCTTGCAATGTGGACGCGGAGACGCACACGCAGCTTCAACAACAAGGCATCGTGGCTCGACCTGCTCCGACATTGGAAGCTGTAGCCTTCAGTGCAAAAAAAGACTTGATGCCGACTTCATTGCTGCAATATGTTTGTTCTTGGCAGTCTGGCCGTTGCTGTTCGCGTCCTTAAAAGCGATGCCTGCAGCCACCTGCAGGAGCAAGCCAGCGAGCGCTCGCATGGACCAAACAATCCAGCAAAGGCAGACAAGCTCTGCCCATGCTTCCCATGTCACCTGAGAACCCGCTGCGTGATTGCAGCGTGTCAAAGTGTTTTTTCTACGTGCTGAAATACCACAGCTTCATCCACAGAGTCTCGTACTGTGTAGTCAGTCAGCTGCCAGGACTAGCAATTACAGTCTCGATTAATCTAGCATGACCACGCTGCGCAGCCCAGAAAATCACAGAGATCGAAAGTCAAGAGGGGGTCATGGGGGGTCCTGTGTAAGACAGGTATCGGTATGGAGCCCAGGAGCAGCTCAAAGTTGCGAGCCGGTCTCCACATGAAAGACGTTGCATTTTTCGCCATCTTGTCCAAAAGAAGTGGCGAACTGTTGATTTCCAGTTTCCCACGTCGTTTGAACAACAGTTGTCTCGAGAGTTGGCTGTAGCACAGCAACACACACACGCACTCCTTGGAACATGCTTAGAGTCTTAGAGAAGACTAGCTTCGTTGCATGTCGCAGCGATGCTTCTGTGTTTTTTGGTTGTTTCTGCGGTGGCGGCCGCAAATGCCATCTTGTTGTTCGCACTGCCACCGAGTCGGTGTTGAACACGGTCACACAGTTGTGCTTGCGTGAGACTTTCCAGGTGGGCAGGCGCAGTCAACAGCATTCAGAGTAGTAACCCGCAAGTACCCAATGTAGGTGCGACACCTGAGGTCATGCTATGCAGCTGAGACACTCGCAAAAGCTAGCAATGGCTACTCTTAACTTTGGAGTCAGTATGTGTTATCTGTTGAGCTCATAGCCCTGAACTCTGAACGCTAAACCTCCCGTACGGTGGTTTCGAGTCCTCTGTGTCAAAACCCTAAACCCCCAAACCTACACACCCTAGGCTCTACACCCCCGAACACCAGAACCCAAAACGCACTCAAAATCCCGAAACATGGGCCTAAGATCGATTCTCACCTCGATAGAGATCCTGTCCGGGGTCTTTTGCGCTTACACATGGTGCAACGGATGCTTCTTTTTGATACATCTGCTGCTGCTGCTGCTGCTGCTGCTGCTGCTGGCCCTTGGACGCCATCCGGAGAGGCATCGGGCCGACTCCCCCTATTGATTTACTACGTGGCGGGGGTGGGACCTGCTGAGAACCCCCCCCCCCCCCCCGCGGCAAAAAAAACTAAAAACAAGAACAATCAAACACCACCGCTCATGATTCACGATGCGGCCGCCATACCGGAGGCTGGCGTTCACATGACGAATGTCAGGAGAAACGTGAAGAACAGGATAAAACTAACTATACCTGACAAAAGGAGAAAAAGAGAAAACACGAGGAACAGAAAACAAAAAAAACACAAGTCCTGGGACCTGGGCCCGATTCGGCAAAAGTCAAAAGCCCACTCATCGCTATGGCAGTGCTTGGGACAACGGGCTATCCCCCAAATGTTTCGCCTGAAGGCAGCAAAAACGACCCAAGACACGAAGAAACGCCAGCCGAACGGCGAAACGAAAATCAGCGCCAGAGGACGCTTTGGGCATCAGAGGATGCAAGACCCGTTGTGCGCCACAGGACGCCGGGTCTGGACGACGAAAAAACAGGGTGTGCAGGACGTGTGGTGCGAGAGCATCGACGCGCGAGTGCGTGTTCGCGGCGGCCGCGAGGTCCGCGAGGTGCGGAGGTGTGACATGCGCTTGGGAAGTTGGAGATGCTCGCTGCTCGCAAGCCCTTGACGCCTAAACACTTGCCCGCGTTGCGATGTCGTGTGCTCCAAGTTCCGAGAGTAACTACTCTGCTCATCCGCAAACGTCGGGCAGCATTCCTAGCGAAACATGCCGGGGCCGATGCGGATGCTTTTTGCTCGCTACAGCGCTTCCGTTTAACCGATACAGTGAGTACCGACCGAGGCTTCATCCGTCTACCCATCAGGTTTGTTATTGCTGGGACAAATGGGTGCGCATGGCGCCGAGTTGTGCACGTGCGGACAGACCAAAAAAAAAACACGAAGCAAAGAAGCGACAAAGAACGAAAAACACAACGCAACGCGAAATGATGACAGTCCACACAGAGATAGTGCCCTGAAGCGGCCTCCGTGAGACTGTCCCTTCCCCTTCTGTGGTCGTGCAGTTGTTGTAGACGATGCGTCGATTATGACGAAAAGCTAGGTAAGAGTCCTATGAGGCGTAAGGTTGCTTATGCCCGCATAACCCGCCGATACCCGCCGTGTTGAGTTGGAAGGTCGGCGCCCACCCGCCCCCCCAACGCCAGATGCAAGACCTAGTCGGAAGAACAGCACCCACCGAGTCCCCAAGGTGAGCTAAGTCCCAACGCCGACCGAATCCGTGTTGCCCCCGACCCTTGCGCACCTCGCCCTTCCATTTTGATGGAAGTGCCCCCGTCTGGGGCAATGGCGTTTGCCCCGCGAGTGTGGCTGTGCAGCGACTTGCCCAGTGATGGGACCGAGTGCTTCACACCAGCCAGTAAGATTAATGAGGATGCTGATCAACGAACGAATTCAGCCTTTGCGAGTAGGAGCCCTACATGTCGCGATCAGACCGGCTGTGTACAGCGGAAGTCGGGCAACTATCCCCATTCTCACCTCAACATGGTGCATGCGAGGGGTGCCTGGTTCGATGCTGCCCCCCCTGTTGTGTCCCTCCCCGGGTCCGGTGAAAGACATGGGTGCGCAGACACTGCCAGTATAGCGAAGCACATTCACTCACCCCTCAACGGGCCCCTTTTGATACATCTGATACACCCCTTAAGTCTGTGCGTTAGAATTCGTCCCCGTCCCTAGGAGCTTGCCTCCAATGTCTAGCTCTGCAGACCTGAACCCCAGGCGTGGGCGCAGACCGCCATGCACATGGCGTCGCTTGCACGAACGTTCCCTGGGCCTGGTGGCTGAGTCGGGACCTCAGGCGTATTCTGGCGATAGAATTTAATGTTTCTGTCAGAAGCAATGTGCAGTACAGGAGGATGCAATCATCAAAGTAGCCATGCCAGATCGACGCGAGCTGGTCAAGTCGGCTTGCAGTTGCAGTCAGAGTCAGCTGATTCTTGGTTTTATATGCACTCACGGATCTCGACAGAGAAGGCAAAGGAAGATCACCATGAAGAATGGTGTAGGGCGAGGATGCGTCGAACGCTGAACGTTGCGTCCATGTATTGTGTTTTTTGAAAAGCTGCGTCCATAGACATCTGCGTTTGCAGTCAGATGCAGGTTAATGATTGGCAAAAACTGAGCACTAAGGCCGGTCAAGGCCGAAGCTGGGCGATCTGAGGTGTGGCGACTCTTGACTGTCTAGCATTCTCCTGCCAGACTTGACAGGCTTGCGAAAAAAGTTCTGCAAGTGGAGGGTCCTCTTCGCCTCGTCTGCGCGCAAAACTCTGACTTGTTTCTCGTGCTTTTCGATTTCAGATGCGAGGACCTAGCGTGGGCAAGAAGTCATGTCCAAAACTTGAAGTCACAGCAGTAGCGAGGTGGCATGGATGGGCCCAAACCTGCGCAACTTCTTCTTTCCGACCTCTTGAGACATTTCGGGCTGACACCACCGACGGTTCTTTTGTCCGACAGAGCCAAGAGCGGTTTAGGGATTTGCATTTGAGCCAGACTACTTGCCGTGATGTGCACTGTGAGACCTACAAGTGGGTAGGTTAAGTCGTGTCTTCTCGTGTAAAGTGGTATCTCCGGCACGTGCACACTGCAGATTCGCAAACTCCAAGATTGGTCAGAACCCACTTGAGCAGAAATCTCATTCACGCTGACAAAAATGTGCTCCCCTCCCGCGCGTGCGGTGACAAGTGCGTATTTTGCACGTGTGTCGAGAACATGCGTGTGCGGCGCGTGCACACTGGGGGAAGGGCAAGTCAAAGGGGCATTGTCTCAAGTACTTGAACTCCTGCCATATCCGTGTGTTTGCGGTATGGCAGCACATAGCTTCTCATCTTCGTGTTTGATGAGGCCAATGCCGTCTCAAGAACGACAGCACCAAAACCAAACAAAAAACACAACACTTCAACGATGGTCTGTGCTTGGCTTCGCCAACTGGTGATGCATGTCTACTGGGTGTCTCTTCACATGAACACAAGGCTAAATTGTTTCACGCCCAGGGGCACTGTGCTTGCATCAGCTTTGCTGCGTTATTTATGACGGGCTCAAGACGTTGGGATTCATGGGGGGAAGGTCGCGCCCTGTAAGTTGCCTGCACATGTTTGGCGTTGTTTGAGAACTTCTGTTCAATTCATTCTTGTGACCGGCTTCTGGCCACTTCGTCTGTGCCAGTGCAGCTGATTGTTGGTCAAGCTGAGTCAAGCTGTGCTTCAGATGTGTTAGCCGACTCCATGACATAGCTGACACCGACACAACCAATAAACAGCCAGGTAGCCAGAACTAGATGACCGGGTTTCGACGTGTTCGTTGCAATCTTTGAGAAAGACTAGACTGACTAGACAAGCAAGCACAGGCAGCTGCCTAGAGGTCTAGTGGTGTTCTCTTCTGCAGCTGGAGCTGGAATGCGTGCAGCCCATGAAGGGACTGCTGCAGCCGGCAGCCACAGTAGCAGATGACGTGCCATCTGCATGCTTGAGGCAGGAGGACTAATGACTAATGCAACATCAATCGTGGCAGATCTGTTGATGTCTTTTCGTAGGTATGGATGGTGACCCAAAACGGAGACGCCTGGTGAGTGCCTGAAGTGCTGAGTATGCAAAAGTGTGTGTGTGTGTACATGAAGTGATGCACCGGCCATGCTGAGGATCCTCCTGAAGATGCACTGCACGATTATTTCCATGTTCCACGACGGCCTCTGCTGCACCCTCCACCGCCTGGAACTCACCGTATCTCGTACAGCTCGTCCAGGTTGCGGCCGCATGCTGGCGACTTGTTTTGATCCTCGAAGGCTGCTCGGCACGGGCCTCCCTCCGCGGCCGTGACCTGTGAAAGAAGACATGCACAGAGATGATTCGACGTGGGATAAAGTAGGGCATAGAGTTGAGGATGCGGGGGCATGGAAGAGAGAGCTAACGGCATAGAACCGGGAATGTTTGAGAAGTGAGAACTGAACTTCGAGATGCGCCGAGTCCACTGGAGGCTTCACCCCGTGGATGGCACAGCACCCTTCAGGCCTTACGAGCCTGCACCGGTCGCGCCCTAAGGCAAGCTGCCCCTTCGTCAATCCTTAGGCAGGTGGATATTATATATTGGTCTTACGACATCTCATGGTCTTCGATCTTCGATTTCCCTTTGGTCGCAGAGTTCTGCACATGTTCAGTTCTGGCTGGTTCTGTGCTTCGCTGTAGGTCATGCGACATCGGGCTGAAGACTCGTGGCCCCCTGGGCCACGCTACCGTGTGCAGTGCACCGGCACATTTGTTGCTGACCTTTCTCATCTCTTCACTGAAGATTATCTTGAGCAGAAGTCGCCGAGACCACAAAACCACGGCAGGTGCGTCATGGGAAAGGGAACCTTCGGCACAGTCTGCAAGGTGGGTGTCTTCCTGTCTTCCTGGCATTTCTCTCCACATGCTGCGTGTTTCTCTCACGTTTTTGAAGGCCATGGAGGTCCGCAGCCAGCGGACGGTTGCCATAAAGACGGTGTGCGGCCGAGTTTGAGCATGGACAGGTTGCTCATGTTGCTCCCGGCCCCAGCTTTTAGGATGTTTGGGGGCCTTGTCAGGTCTCTGTTGTTGAGCATTGTTCTCTGGATGTGGTGAGGTTGCGCACAGCGGGGCCGGCAGAGAGGCAATCCAAAGTCTTCCGGTCCTGTCCGTGCTGTGCAATTGCAGAGTGGTCCCGATTTGCTAGATGGAAGTTCTTCGCCGTCTGAATGGCAGCCCAAACGCAAGTACCTCAGTTGCCCCGATGGAACGACATGGAACGACGTCAACTTGAGTATTTGAGCGATCAAGATGGAGCGAATGAGCGAATGCCAATGCTCTTGCGAGAGTCGCGTCATGTTAGGTCGGCCACTTTGAGGCATCTTGTGTAATGCGTGCGGAGGTTCGCTCTCTCTTGTGCCAGGACGCCAGACGAGTATAGTGTAGGCTTTAGACGTAGAACGAGCTGCTGAAGGCTGTTGTCTGTGCAGCGGCTCAAGCACACAGCTGCTGCCAAAAGCCGCTGCTGAAAGCCGAGAGATTTAAAGCTTGATTGAAGTTTTGAGTGTTCTAAGGTCGTGCTCTTGCTCGGGATCTTCGAGGGTGCTGAGGAGGCAAAGCAACTCCAGGGTCCCCATGGGGCTTGCAGCAGGGGGCAGACATAGGTAAAACTGTAAAGAAAAGCAGGTAAAGCTCTGTAAGCTTAAATTGGACATGTCCATAAGTTCGTGCATTTTGAACCTACTTGCAGCTGGCTTGGGGCGCCTGATGTGGCTGCCGCCGGAAAATCGCCCAGGTCAACTTGCAGTACAAATCAACGACTGTGCCACCAAATATCTCTTGCTGAAGATTTGAAGTGGAACGCCATTACGAGTGGGGTGTGGAGGGGTTGGCAGGTGGGGTGCCGAGGACAATCGATCTGTAGGTCAGGCAGACACATCGTTGCTCAGTTTGATTGGTCTTATGGAGAACACCGCCTTTGAATGCTTAGGAGTATTCCAGTCAGTAGATATGGTCAAGCTGGCACAGGCGCGCCCTCGCACAGCCTCCCGCTTCCCTCACAAGTAGAATTTGAGTTTCGGATTCAGAGCTTTAATTTCTACGCCATAGTTTTATCAATGTTTATTATCAGGGAGAGGCGAGACGAGCCCCAAGTCTGAAAAGAACAACAGAGCGTCAACATGTAGGTGAATCGCTGTATGCTCTTCTGCTTGATGAGGTTCGGACAGTGAATTTCGTGCTGGAATACATGTCTGCCTCTGCCTCAGATAACGCTTCGCGACATAGGAGCAGGCATTTGGAAGAGTGTCTTGCGATTAGTCGCGGAAACATGACATGCAACTCTCAGTGTTGCTGGTGCCTTGTACACGGATTGTCAGCGGGAGTCGAGTCGGCCTGCTCTAAAGCATTGCTTGTGTGCGTTTGTGTGCGTAAGGGCAGGCTAGCGCCGCAATAGACGGCTGTAGCCTTCATGTGCGCGCAAGTCAGACATTCAGAATCCAGACATTTGTCGACCAGATGATCTCAAAATCTCCCTCTCTCTCGCTCTCTCGAGCGCGCTGATGTCGCATGAAGGACACACTGGGTCGCATCATCAAGCATCATCGGCAGCAGGCAGCTGGCTTCAGTGGCTTGCAGCTCTCCCCCTTTTTGCTTGCGTTTGCTTGCTCAGGGCACGGAGATGGACTTCCATCGTGTTCGCTGGACCCTTGGAAGTTGACACACGGGATTTTCAGACACCCGCAAGTGCCCAGGTGTCTACATGTATCAGCTGCTTCGCGGCTTAGACAGCTTGTACAGACATGGGGTGGTGCCCGGGGAAAAAGCGTCTCTTGATTGTGTTTTCGCTTTGCTCCTTCCCGTTCACGACAGGTACACCGGGACATCAAGCCTGCAAACTTGCTCGTGGACCCAGCAACGTATACCTTGAAGGCCCTTCCGCTTCTCACGCACCTTCCGTTCCACCTTCTGCCGAGCACATACTATTACGCAAAGCGCAAGGTGTGTGACTTTGGCACGGCAAAGTGGGTCAACACCTCCGAGGCACGGATTCACGCCCGTCAGAGCGAGCATTGCCCCCAAGTGGCCGGCTTCAGTATTCACACAAGAAAAGCTTCGAAAAGCTTCGCCATCAAACTCAAGCTTTTTCGGCATCAAAAACTGCAGCGGCGCTCATTTTCTGGGAATACTTACAAGTCAGGTGGCAAGGACTTGCAACTTGTCCATGCTGCTGCGCTTCCTTACTTACTTCGTTTTTACGCACTACCGCGTACTTCCTCTGATCCAGAGCTTTGCAAGAATGCTCACATCACATTTAAAGATGCGTCAGCTGTGAGTCAGGCTGTGAGTGCAGGAGACTGGGAGATTGTCCATGTCAAGTCCCACGACTACGCTACCCACATTCTCCTCTCTACCGACCATACCGTCTTCCCATCACCGCCAACTACTGCACGTCCCAGACATACCAAGACAATCCTCAACTGCAAGAAGTAATACAGTAGTAATATACATCACAAGCCATGTACCCACTGCCCACTCGTGATCCGAAAAGGATGTTCCAAAGGAAGTTCACGGGCCATCGTGCAAGCGCGAGCCGGCATCATGTTTGAGTGGGCCCTATAAATCGCACTGCGCTGCTACTTGTACTGGGAATTCTGTGTGCTCTGCGGGCTGCTGTCCGCGTCTGATATGTCTGATACATTGGCCAGCCTAAGCATGCGGTTGCTGCCCTCGAGTGCAAGGTGTCACAAGCTTATGTTTGTTCTCGCGCCTTGGCTCGAAATATTCGAATTCAGACCGAGCGCTTGGAGTTGCGTCCACCCAAAGAAGGCCCCAACGGAAATCAGCAAGGTTTCTACCGTGCCCCGGAGCTGATTTTGAGCGCGCGCGAGCAGTGCTGTGCTCAGAGAACAGTTTGTGCTTTCACAGTACTGCTGTTTTCATACATCAGAATGAGAGTGCCGATCCTGCGTGCAGTACATCCAGCGTGGATATGTGGGCTGCTGGCTGCGTGCTTGGAGAAATGCTTCTTCGTCAGCCGCTTTTTGCAGGGAAGGCGGGGGGGGCGCTTTCACCTTCGCACCTGTCATTGGGCCAAATAGCCTTCGATTTCTTCCGAACTCTTCTTATGTTGCACTCTCTATACTCTCTGCGCCATGGGGTAGGATGGGATCGACCAGCTTTACAAGATCATTGAGGCCCAGATTAAGCTTTGTGAAGTTACTGTGAGGTTCTGTGGACCTGCTTGTTGTCTCGCTTGCCTCCCCTGTCAGATCATGGGAACTCCCACCGCGCAGCAGCTTTATGCCATGAATCCCTTCTACGATGCCGGAGGCGATGTGATATTTGGATCAACAACTGGCCACAACAGTGATGCAACCAGCCCCTGTGCAGCCGTCTTCATGCAAGTCCCGCCCTTGAAGTGGAGCAAAGTCCTGCGGGATCGATGGAGCGCAGAGGAGCGTTTGCTATATGCCTGGTTTCATTCAACAGTTTGGCCATGTATAGTATGCCAGAATACACTCAAATCTACTCAATCTACTCTAGACAATCTCCAGGCAGAGGAGATCTTGGGCGCCATGCTGCAGCTCGCCGCCCCAGCTTGTCAGCTGAGCCCACGCATCTTCTGAGTTTCTTCATTTTGCCGGAGCGTGTCTTGCAAAGGTTCGACCCCAGAAAGCGGCCCCGCCCAATGGAAGCCATGGTGCCACCCGGCTGCAGTGTGCCCCACAAGCCTTATCCTCTTTTCATACCAGGCCGCACAGTTTTTCGGTGAGCTTCGCCGGCGGCCGAAGAGTGTAGTCAGCGACCCAGACATCTCGACCTGTGTTGCGCATACGCGTGTTTGTCCGACAGCGCATGCAGCCTGTTCACACTGTCAGGTGGTATCCGTTAATTAATATGAACATGACAAGTTATCTCTATAACAAGCAGGCTTGATTTGATGCGATTTGTGTGCAAGCCGTTGCTGTTGCTAACTTCATTCGCAGGCTGCGGACTTATTCAATTTCACAGAGCAGGACACAGTCCGTGCTGCCCTCCAGCCAATGATGCCGGCATGCCTCTTAGCCAGCGCCAGGAAAGAGCCAGCTGCCCTCCGGAGATCTTCAAGAATCTCATGCCACAGTGCGCCAATGTCGATTCGGGGTAGTGTGGGCAACATATATGCCAAGATTGAAGATGAGTTAAGCTGTGAAGTGCAGCGTCTGACAAAGTGCAACATGTGACAGGCGATAGCTGGTGGCGAGTTGCGCGGATTCCGCGGCCAGCCATAGCTGCCAATGGCGAGTGGGCCATCCCTTGTCCAGCAAACGGCAGTTTGGAATCTGCTTTCGCTGGAAAGTTAATGAAAGTGCACGGGCAACCGGGCCAGACTCATCATCCGCTGTATATAGTAATTAGAAGTAGTTACTTCATGACGTTATCATTGCTGTCATGGAGTCCAAAAAAGCGGGAGCCCTGCGCTTCGAGACAGCGAGCACATCACAGCAAAGTCCGTAATATTCTTAAACATATATATATATATATTCCTTCTCAGGCCCATATCTTTAGGTTTTGTGCCACCCTCATACGCAGTGGTAGGCTTGTTGCCGCCTTCAGAAGTAGTGGAGGCTTCAGATTAGGGATTGCATTGTATCTGCGGTGTGTTCCTTATCTAAGATGTTCGTTGAGATGTGTTTAAGATCTTCTGTTGTTGCTGCTCGTTGCCTTGGCCTTGGTTCAAGAAATCAAGGGGAAGCAGGACAAAAGGTGGCAAGCCCTGTGACAGATCGCAGCCTTGCGGCAACCGTATCTCAGCAAAGTGCATCTTCACATCTTGAGACGATCCAATGAGCACGGTGCGGGACTTTTTGCACTGAGGATATGCCGGGCAAAGACTACTATAGCATCCTTGGGATCAGCAAGGATGCGAACCAGGACCTAGAACCACATCACCACGACTCTCTTTGCGAACGAACCCAAGGGCATTTGCCAACTGTGGGAGTCAGGATGACATCAAGAAAGCGTGTCGTGGCGGCAGAGACCTCTTTTTGTCGGGAGTCTGAAAACCAAGAGGCGTGTGCCTGGAGGTATCGAAGAGCTGCACTGAAGTGGCATCCAGACAAGAACCAGGCAGAGTTGCAAGAGAAGCTGAGTCAACTCTTAAGCTGAGTAGCAAAGAAATAGCTCGGCCTCGCACCGTTTGTCAAGGATCGGCGGGCAGAGGCTGAGGAGAAGTTCAAGGACATCGCAGAGGCAGGTTGAGAGAACTTGAGTGAGCAGGATAGAGCAGGTTGTGAGAACTCGGAGGACCGAGCAGGTTCCATCGCAAGGGGCTCCCCGTTTTATGTCCCGGCTCCCCTGAGCCGAATCGGAGGCCTACGATGTTCTCAGTGATCCAGAGAAGAAGCCCAAGCCTCGATTCTGGACCCTCCCGGTTGGAGTTCCTTGACATGTCTTGGAGGCTCCGCCGTTGGTGTTCGAGGTTTTGAAATTGCCTGCACTGTGAAATTGCCCTTGGGCATGCTTGAGCTAGCCAGCCACACCTAGTGGTGGGGGTAGACTACGATCGGGTATCCAGTTTAATTTTAACGCTACGTGACCCGCCTCGGCCGGGCCCAGCGCATCCGCGTGAGCATGGTGATTCCGCGGCGCCCAAGTTGCTGGACCCCAAGCAATAAGGGTTGGGTTTAGGGTTTAGGGTTTAGGGTTCCGGGTTTATGGTTTGGGGTTTAGGATTTAGGGTTAGTTTAGGGTTGAGGGCTTAGGGCTCACGGTTTGGGGTTTAGGGTTTTTTTGGGGTTTAGGGTTCAAGGCACAAGGTTGAGGGTTGGGCTTGGATTGATCGTAAAGTTGAGCCAGGCCCCTCAACCTAAAAAGGGGGGCCGGAAGGGTGGGGGGCAGGGGTGGGGCAGGGGGGGGGGGCCTGCTAGGCGGGGCTTCAACTGCCCCTGGTCCTGGCGAACCGTCCGCTTTGAGATTGTGGTCGCCCACGGGGGGGTACCCTTTCCAGGTCAAAAAAGGGGTCCGACATGGGTGCCTGTTCTGACAACCGATACACCTTCGGCCCGAGGCATCGGCGGATTTGTAGTTTACAACATTTTTTCTCAGGCCCTCAAGACTCTAATCCCCCGCCATGGGGGATGCCCTTCCACCTGGCTGCATCGAGGCAGCGAACCCTCAAAGGAGATGTGGGGGCCAACTAAATCCCTAGCTCCCAAAAAGAGAATCCCAAACCCCTCGCTGGCAAACGCCCCCAGGGGAAATGATAACACAGGGTGGGCGGCAAGCCCCGAATCCTTCACAAACCCAAACCCTTAAACACCAGTTGGTTTGTGGCCAACCTTAATTCATAAAAGGAGATGTTAAGGATGTTGCGTCGCCCTAATTAAAGAGAAAGTCCTTGTGATGCTCGCCTTTAGCTAAGCAAGGTGTTTGGCTACCCCTTCCAGGGATCAGGCCGGCTGGAAGCGAAACCATTGATGGAAAAGCCAAAAGACCCGCATGTGCTGGCCTTGGCCCCGGGGCTCTGGATTTCGATGCCCTGGTGGCTTCAAGGCGGCAACTGAAGCTTAAAAGCAAGCCTCCTTTCCAAGACCCCCAAAACCAGGATTCCCAACAAAGCCGAATTCCCTTTTAAAAAACCATATAGAAATCCGGGAAAGGGGTGGTCCAGCAGCCAGCCCAACCTCGAATAATTGGCACTGTTTCGGGACTCGCTTTAATGTCCTGGCCCTGGACCCTGGATTCCGAAAATCACATGGATCCCGTAGAAATTCATTTAGACTCATCCCCTTTTACACCGTCTGAATCTCATTTAAATTCGTATAAACTTCCTTTTAAGATCATATCGATCCCTTTTTTGAATTCACATAGACTCAACTCACCCCTGTAAAAAGCTCATATACATTTATTGATTCTGTTTAGAATCATATGGATGGATCCCTTTTCAATTCATATAAACTCAGCCTGTTTAAAATCATATGGATCCCTTTTGAGTTCATATACACTCAGCCGATATGGATCCTTTTACATTTGTGTAAACTCAGACCTTGTAAAATCATATGGGCCTCCTGCTACATCATATAAACCCACCCCTCTTAAATTCATGTAAACTCAGCCTTTTAAACACCCTCTTCGTCCATTTAAATTTCATGTAAACTCAGCCCTTTCAAAATCTTAGGGACCCTTAAATTCATGTAAACTCATTCATTTGACAATCACATGAATCACATGGATCCCTTGTACATGTTCTTAAACTCCTCCCTATTAAATCATATAAAATCCGCGGACCGTTTAAAGAGGGCGAGAACCAGCTTCGACTGTTCTAGGGGGGGTGTCTTTCTCGTGTTCGAGTTCACAGACGGTGAATTATCTCAACTTTAGCATATATTGTTGCGGCTACCCGCATTACTCCGGAGCCCCCCCTGGCCAGGGCTTGTGATCCTTGAGACGTCGTGGAAACATTTGGAAACCTTAAACCTTCAAGCTTCAAGGTGGGGCCAGATTCCCCTCAACCCTCGATGTGACTAGCTTGCTTCTAAGCCTTTCCTCTAGCGTCGGCGCGCATTTCCTTCGTCACAAGGAAGGCCTCTGACAAGTGCCTGTTGAGTACCTGGCACACAGTGCCATGCATTAAAGCATGAGCAAATGTCAGTAAGCTGAGCATCGCTAATGTGGAGTGTCGCAAATTGCTGAGGTCGATCTACGACCAGTACGGCGAAGACGGTTTGAAGGGTGGCGTGCCAGGGCGCGTGCCTCAGCTTCCGAAGCGTGACGAGGAAATATAAATATAGCACATACCTGAAGATCGAGCATCTCACTGCCCACTATGCAAGTGATTGCAAGTGCCGTCCGTACTTGACAGTGTTGCGAGGTGTTCTTCTTGCTTGGGCAGTTCTTTCCTTGTGCTTCTCATGCAAGGCCTGATTCTGCAGGCGCTGGTGGCATGCCTGGGGCGCCCGGTGGCTTCCACTACCAATTCTCTGGAGAACCCCGGCTGACTCTAAGAGCACGGTTTTCCCTGGTTGTGGTGGTTAAAGTGGTTACGTCTTCGGTTGTTTAAAATGCAAGAAGGCGCAACAACACACAACGTGATCTGGCACTCTTAGTTGCAAGGCACCTAACTAGGCAGCTTGCAATGTCTGCTTCATTGGCTGACTTTTGCACACTGACTGCTCAATTGCATGTCTGCCTGAAGCTCCCTCACGGTTGCACACGGTTGCACTTTCGATTCTGCGCACTTTGCGTACCACCGTGCGCGTCTGAAAGCAGTTGGGCTGTTCAACGTGTGATGAGTTGGCGCGTGTGAGACCGACCGAGGATCCGAATGACATGTTCGCCAGGTTTTTCAAGGACCACATGCCCTCTGCGCTCAGCCACTGGTGCAAGTGCCAATGTCTTGCCCTGGAAGCTTATGGGCTGGCCTAGGGTCGAGCCAGAGACTACACAAAGCAACCGAGTCGGGGAAGACGACGCGCCATCTGAACTCCTTCCTAACTATCGGGAGAATACAGTCAGAACAGGCTTATTTCAACGAAGCTTTGACTTCAGAGATTGGGGCTGCTAGTCACATAGACGGCCTGCAGCCCGCATTCATATGGCCGGTTTGACAGTTCGCCGCTGCTGCTGCTGCTGCTGCTGCTGCTGCTGATGTTTGCAGGACTCTTTCCATCGATCATCCTCCTTTGGGGAGTCCCCTTTTGAGGCGGGTGTGTTCTTCGAGCACCGGCACGAAGCATTTTGTATCGTTTTGTGTGCAAAGTGTGGTCATCGGTTCCGCCAGGAAATGTTTGGAATGTTCGGAGGTGCACATTGACAAGTTGAGCCACCATTTGAAGAAATATTGCCCAGCTGTGTAGCAGAGAGATCAACCGAACAGGCATGGGTGGCATGGGTGGCATGGGCGGCATGGGCGGCATGGGCGGCAATATGCCTGGCGGCATGCGTGGGGGCATGGGGCAAGGCAGCCAAGCTTCCAGGCGTCGATGTCATGCAGAGCTGCGGTGTGAACTGTGTGTGAAGCGTGTGAACTGCTTGACGCTCTAAATGTTTGCGAGGCCTGCGGTGTTTGATTTGCCATGCTCGCTGGAGGCTTGGGCGCATCTCTTCGTACATCTCCTACCATATGGTATCATATGGTCACCAAGCATTCCTTTGGGAAGCACGCATCCTTGACAACATGCCAGAACCAAGTCGGAATAATGGGCAGGAGAGCAGTTATGCAACAAGGCGGAAGTTCAGCACTGAAACAACATGACAATTTGGTCTGGTTTTGACTGGGGTCTTTTGGTGTCGTCCTACCTGTGGTTGCCCACGGGATCTCACGAGTACTCCACTCTTGGCTGTCGTTCGTTTCTCACAAGCCCGTGAATGCGGAGTTGAGACTACATGCCTAGCACTCCGCAGCATTCAACAGAGCAGAACAGAGTTGAACAGTACGATGAAAAGGTATGTTCTGCAAAATATGCTTTTCGCCACGCGGCATTTCGTTGCAGGCCAAATCTCCCACCCCATCCTTCCTTGCTCCCATTTTTGTGCGAGTCTGCGGCGATAATTTTCATGGCCATGAGCCCCGAGAGCCCAAGCATAAACATCCGGGTAAACATTCCCAATTCTTCGTAGACCCTTCGATAAAGCGCTGTCCTGCTCTTTCGAGATTGCGTTTGTGATTCCAGCTTGGTCCGACCACCCGGATGGCATACAAATCACACAAAACAAGGCGGTTGACTGAAGAAGGCAAGGCGAAAATAGGCGAAGATGTCATACATGCATAGTTTTCAACCGTACTCGCAAAGAGCAACAGGCTTTGTTGCTTTCCTGCCTCAGCTCTTCACGTCGACTTTTTTATGGTGTCGGGGAGTTGTGCCGAATCGCCTAGGGCCATGATCCTCTGAAGCAGTGGTCAGCCTCGAAGAACCGAAACAGCTTGCATTCGCCAATTGGACTTCGTCAATGCAAAAGGGTTGCAGAAATGCGGCCATTTGACGTGTTGGTTCTCGCACATCGTGGCACATCTGTCGTCTTGTGTCTTGTGTTCAGGACCTGTACAATGGAGCAACCAAGAAGATGAAGGTATGCTGGCAACTAGCACAGCCGGGGTGGTTTGAAATTTGCGGGGTCAGACGCGTGCAGCATATTCGAAGTGTCAGGTGAAGCGCTCTTCGGCTACGCTTGTCCGCGATGCTGAGGTGCGATCTGGTCAGACAGCACAGTCACTAGCCGCCACCAGCCCTACTAGTTCCTAGCCACAGACGCTGTGAGCCAATCTTCAACTCTTTGGTGGATACCCTTGACTCGCGGAGGCTGTGCTGGAGGTTGAGGTGAAGCCTGGCTGGAAAGCTGGCACGAAGGCCATGTATTGCGCGCTGCTCTAGCCCGTCGAGGTCCATGGCATTCCGCAATAGCATTGCATAAGAAATCAGAGTTGAGCGGAGTTGAGCGAGAGTGACTGCGAAGGTGACTTACCCTGGTGAAGGAGACGAAATTGGAAACTCAGGCAAAGCACAGGACCGGTGTGGGCAAGGGTGAGGCAAGCGCTTCCAGTTGCTTTGAGCTACTTGACTGCTGGTTTAGGACAGGAGCTGCGATAACACATTTTGAGTAGGCACAGCGAAAGAGATTGTGCATCGAAATCAATAAGACTAAGTCAGTCTTGACAGAGGCAAGAGGCAGAAAGGAAGGAAGAAGGAACGAAGAACGAAAGAAAGACAGACAGAATAACGAAAACAAAACAAAAAACTATAGATAGAGAGAGAGAGGTAGAGAAAGAGAGCAAAACATGTGAGTATAGGGGATCACTTCACACCCTCAAAGCCATGAAGAATAATGAGTCAAAGATGGTGAGCTCCTTACATGGTTCTGCGACTGGGGCTTGGTTAGGTGCGGTGATGAAGATGCTGTGAATTGACGTGTAGCAGATTGGGGAGTGGGGCCTAAGAGCATGCTGTGCAGGGAATAACTTGGCGAGATTGAGTTCGCTGTTCCATGTCGTTCCCGTGCCCGGATGGCCCAAAATCAGATTCCAGGCAGGGCGGGTAACTCGATCCGAAGCCTTGGCCCCAAAGCCATCCCAAGCCCCTGTCGTGCCCCTGGGGGCTCAACACATCTCGCCACAAGTCTGATAGGAATTTGCCCAACTTGATCCCGTTTCGGAAAGGGGCTGACAATTCGAGGGTGCGACACACCAAAGTTGCTCCAAGAAAGGGAGGCCGGGGGCGAATCCCGGTTGCATGATTTTGCCCCCAACCCAAGTCGTTTTGTTGTGGCGTTTGATGGGTGCATGTGTGCTCAGGAAGTTCCCGTGTTGTTTTGTGGCGGATTCGGTTCTTACTCGGTCTGCTTGTATGGAAGTCATTGCGGTCGAGATAGAACCAGCTGCGGTTCCATTTGAGGCGTCCTCGGGGAAGCACAGTTGTGTGCGGCTCTCCAGCAGAACTTCTGCACAAACAATTGCAACTCAGCAGGTTTTTGGAGCGGTGCGGGCACAACCTGGTTGGTCCTGCTGATGATATGTCCTGCATTGGCCTTCGCGTCGAGGATTATCTCGCATTTGCTTGTTGCCGGGGTTGAACTACCTCTGTCACGTGACGTGCGGGCCCATAGGGGCCCCCGTAAGATCAAGCAAAGAAGAGAGAAGTCAGTGAGTACGGGCGGGCCCCGGGCGGGACCCTGTCAGACCGTCATGATACAACAGTTGTGCACTAGCATGATAGCAGGCACGGACTTTTCTCAAGCGGCGAATTCTATCACCACGATGTTTGCGAGGGCTTGACTAAGGGCGAATTGCAGTGGCACGAGGCTTGCAGCAGCGAATTCCGTTGTCACGATATCTGGGGGGTTGCGAGTGGCGAATTTGCGAGGGCTTTACAAGTGGCATTTGTCGAATTCCGTCGCCACGACACTGGCGAGGGTTTCACAAGCGATTTCACGACATTCGCGAGGCTTTTGCATGTCATGAAATCCATCACCACGATATTTGCAGGAAGTGCCCAGTCGATCGACAAATGCCTTTGTCCGCATGCCCTTTGCTTTCAACATGTCCTTTTTGCTTTGTAAGCAAGACTGAATCTGATGTTGAGCCGAAGCAAAGTGCTGTACCAATTGTACCAAGATCCTGCTACTGCAAATTTGCGTGGCATGGCAAGGTTCGAAATGCATGTCTTTAGCAGCCCTTCGTTTGATCCTTGTTGTTTAGTTTTGGTCGGGGCTTTCGAGTATGTTTACGGTGCACGCTTTGTTCTTTGATGTTCCACCCGTCAAGGATGTGGTCTTTGTCATCCGCGAGAAAGGGCACAACATCTTCACAAGAGAGGCTTTAATACTTTGCGCGATACAGTTGCTCTTGCGGTCGGTTCCTCTTGTGCGCACGTTTCATTCAGCCACCTCTCCAGGGTTCCAATCTGCTGCACCATCGCAAGATTCCCCTAGTCGATGCCCTTACAGGCTTCAAGGCGGCAAGCGTCGTGGGTTCTGAGTTCTGAGTAATGAACAGCCAAGCTGGCATCGTGGAGGTTGACGTGCCCATGCTGGACAAAAAGGAGAGAATCCTCCGTGTCAACGTAGCTGACATGGCCCGTGTCTCATGAATGGTCGCACGTTGCTACAATGGGCCTGTCAACACTTCTTGCTGTGTCTTGATTGAGATCAGGTTAGCCCCAACTATGTGAAGGTGGTAAAGGGCGAGGGCATGCCGTCTAGCAAGATCCCGGGTAACAAGGCCAGACTCCGACAGCATCTTGCATCTACTGGCTGCATGTATTGCACCATGAACCGAGGGCGATCTGATCATCACCTTCGACATTGTCTATCCGTCATCGCTATCGGCTGACCAAAAGGACGTCTCTGGCTTTTAAAAAGCCCCTTGAAAAAGCAGAGGGAAATGTTTTGTGTTGTTTTTTTTTGCGATGGCGGGTCTCCTGCAGGAGAAGCTGAAGGCTGCGCTGCCCAGGTCTTGAGATGTCTCGAGATGTGTCGTGGAGGATGCTAAGCATTCGAACTAACTGCCCCTTTTAAAAAAGGGGCGCCCGCATGTGGACTATTGTGGCACATGGGCACATTGATTGCAGACTGTTAGCGAGGATGCCGAGCGGAAGTCGAAGATTTCCCTTATGATTCCTGTTCAGAATTTTTGCATGTTAGAGGCACTGCAACATGTACAGGTCAGCAAGCCAGGACCTTTCTGTCAAGGTTCTGGTGACGGCAGTAGCTAAATACTTCGGCATTTGACGGACATTCGGCCTGTATAAACTGGTGCCTATCGCATGCATGCTCAGACTTGAAGCCATCCAGTCTCCATGCCTGTGGGCAACATTACATCACAATCCCAGGTACGTCTGTATGCATGTCTATAAACGCACTTGTGCCTGCCGTGTCACGCAGCAAAAATGCTTTGCTTGAGAAGCTGAACATACGAGGTGCAAGTGACATTTAGCCCCATCCGTTCCATCGATGGTTTCATCCTGCACAGCCCTGCTTGCATCGGTTTTGGCAGTAGGACCCCCTTACAACCATAGGAAGAGATGTCCAGTGGCGGGAGGGCTTGACACAATGGATGTGGCGAGAACAGAGGCGACAGGTGGGGTCAAGTCCAAGCCATCATCTGATGATAGCTCTGCAGTACAACTGCTTGGACTTATTTTGTTTTTGCCTGATTCAACTTGACTCTGACTGCATGGCATGAGGACAGAAGTATGTGTCCTCAGTGGAGCCACTTGGCAATGTGTCCCCTAATTTCACAAAGCCGTCGGATGGTCTCTGTAAGCTCTCCGTGTTTGGCGCAGACGAATATGAAACAGCTTGAAGGCCTTCAGACCATGAGATGTATCGACGGTCCAAAACTTGGTGTGTTGTTTTATGTCACCTGCTGGGAGCGCGAGTGCATTCCGTCGGTGGATGACCAATGGATGCATTGAAAATTTGGCAAGGTTCCGAAGCTTCTTGGATGGTGGGCCCAGGAGTTGAGAATGTTATCTTGTGTCGCAGAGGCGCAAGTATCTATCGCCGCTTACCCGCGATGCCTTTTCCTTGCAGCTTCGACAGCGGTCTT